CCTGTCCCTACCACACAAGTATGTCTTTTCTTATCATCCCAAATAGTCATGTTATGACGTTAGGTTAACTCAGTAATCGGTATTCACTGCAGAGCCAATTATCGAATTTTCTTTTTTGGTGACTTTTGTCTTACCTGGAATTAATAACTGCCCTTTCCCCCTATTTGCTTAGTTTTCTAAGTATCTTTTTTCTTTTTTTTTTGCAACACATCCTTCAGATCAGTCAGTTACCCATCAGTATTATTTTCCAAATGGCCAAATATCAGACAAATTTTCAATTCTATCCCCGGGCCCTCTGGTCCTGGGATGCAAGGGGAAGGGAACCGAGGACCCCTGTAGTATAAGTAGACATGTGCCTAATTCCCATTGTCAGCCCCTCATCATCTCACCCTGGCCCACTGCCATACCCACTGTCCCCAAGGCCTTAACTTTCATGGTTTCACTTTTTCAGAAGATAAACCTCCATTCTCCTGCCTAGGCTGGGGGTACTCATCTGGCTCTCAGGGTGGGCAGGGTCTAGGGCTCCATTGTGTTTACCAGCTTTCAAACAATTCCTTGCTCTCAACCCTGCCGCACACCTCACTTCCTCTCTACCTAGTACCTCCCAGCCTTGAGTCTTTGAGGTGGTTCTTCAGGATGAATTTTGGCTCTTTTCTTTGCGCTGATTTTAATTACCAACACTGCATTCACTTACCGTCTTCCAAATTCTCACATCCTCTCATCCACTGATGTTTCTTCTACTGTTCTCTTGCAGGTTGTCTTCCTGGATTTATGCATCCTTTCTTCCTTTCCTCTTTAGTAAGGCTTTGAAAGAGACCACCTAACATATATGATTAATCCACTATGTTTATAGAATCTACGATTATTTTTAAAGTAGATTAAAAGCACATCTGAGTTTATAGGGATATGGGAGATTGACCGATTAATTGAAGGAAGAAAATGTAACCTAAGCCAACATGTGGTGTTTTCTTCTAAAGCAGAGGTCACAACTCAAATTCCTTTAGAAGCCTAGACTGTAGTAACACATGAGTAAAGTGAGGGGGGTGTAAGACAAGGAAGAGTTGGGGAACATGGGGAAGTGGAGAGGGCCAAAACTCTCTGAATGGCAATAGTGACTCAGCTCCAACTGAATACAGAAATTCAGACCTAACCTTGCCAGATCTTCCAATCTTCCGAGGAAAGCCAGTAATTGATCTGCACTTGAAATACCTGACAGATGTTGACACTACTCATCTAAAATAACCCCCTCATGTTGGGAAAATTGGACAGATACATGCAAAAAAATGAAACTAGACCACCAACTTACACCATACACAAAAACAAACTCAAAATGGATAAAGGACTTAAACATATGACGGGAAACCATAAAAATCTTAGAAGAATCCATAGGCAGCAAAATGTCAGAAATGTGTTGTAGCAATATCTTTACTGACACAGGTCCTACAGCAATGGAAACTAAGGAGAAAATAAACAAATGGGACTACATCACAATAAAAAGTGTCTGCACAGAAAAAAAAAAAAAAAACCATCGACAAAACAAGCAAGCCCACTGCATGGGAGAACATATTTGCTAATGTTATCTCTGATAAGGGTTTAATCTCCAACCTTTACAGGGAACTCATACAACTTAACAAAAGGAAGATAAACAATCCAATCAAAAAGTGGGCAAAGGACCTACAGAAAGCCTTTGAAAGAGGACATACAGAAGGTCAAGAGACATATGAAAACATGCTCAAAGTCACTAATCATCCAAGAGATGCAAATCAAAACAACAATGAGGTGCCATCTCACACCTGTCTGAATGGTATCATCAACAAATGACAAGTGCTGGAGAGGATGTGGAGAAAAAGGAACCCTCTTGCACTGCTGGTGGGAATGCAGACTGGTGCAGCCACTGTGGAAAACAGTATGGAGTTTCCTCAAAAAATCAAAAATGGAACTCCCATTTGACCCAGTAATCCCACTTCTAGGAATATATCCTAAGAAAACAGAAACACCAATCAGAAAGGATATATGCATCCCTATGTTCACAGCAGCACAATTTACAATAGCGAACATTTGGAAACAGCCTAAGTGCCCATCAGCAGATGAGTGAATTAAAAAACTGTGGTACATCTACACAATGGAATACTATGCTGCTGTAAAAAAGAAGGAACTCTTACCATTTGCAACAGCATGGATGGACCTGGAGAGCATTATGCTAAGTGAAATAAGCTAGTTGGAGAAAGATTAATATCACATGATCTCACTCATTTGTGGAATATAATGAACAACATAAACTGATGAAGAAAAATAGAGCCAGAGGAAAAAATATTTTAAAATAGAAGTAATCTTGTTATTTGCAGGTTTTTAATATTTCCTACAACTTGTGATATTATGTCAGTACAGTTTTGGTAATATTAAAAAAATTTTTTCTTGAAATATTAACGTTTATTGCATTAATATTATATTTAAAATAGTTTTTCTTGCAATATTAATGTTTATCGCATGTAAATGGCTAATTATTTTGTATTTACAATGTGGTAACAGATTTATTTTGTATATTGTAAAATAATAACATTAATTATAAAATAACCCCCTCACTCTTACTGGCTTTAGTCATCTTCATCACTTTATCAGTATCTGTAGTTATGTTTCATCTGCATACTCTATTCAAATGTTAACACCATGGTTGTGATACTTTTTACGCTGCTATTGAATGAATGAAACATTTGGCACTGGCCAAAGCACTTAGCTCACTGCACATGACCTCCTCTCTGACAGGACTTATACAACCCCTTGAACTTGCCAGTGTCCTTTGCACTATTAGTTCTATTTTTATATGCATCGATTTCCCAACTAGAAGATATGCCTTTAAGGAGTGGGAGCTACATTCTGCTCTCTCTTCCTTAGTGCTTTACACACAGTGGGCATTTAATCTTCTCAGGCACAACAGCTAGTGAAACAAATAGGTGTTGAGATGTGTATGACATGAGAGTAAGCACTGAAAAAAGTAAGGTATTCAAATTGTTGGATTTTAACAGATACATAGTTTCAATTATGATATTTTCTGGTGCTTAGGCGCCTTGCTCTGGTTGTCTATTATAGGTACCCAAAGACTTCAGTTTCATATTACAGAAACGACGATTGATCCAAAACCAACTGAACACAACCTGTGTTTTTTACTTACCTGTCCAACATGCTACTGTAATATTTAAATGTGAAATTAAGGTGAGGAAACTTCTGGCATCCACAGCTACAGGTGTTTGATGAACTGTCGCTTAGGGTGAGCTCCCTTTCCTTTCCTAGACATTACAATCGGCTCTGACAGACGTAGAATGGTAGTAGAGCTATGCAAAACTAGCAGATTCTGGAGGTGTGAGGGAAGGTGCAACAAGCACGTGTCTCCTCTACTGGCCTGGGGCTTCGTCCTCCTCCACCCTAGCAAGGACCTGGCTCACAGCAGATACTCAATAACCATCTCCCGACAACGGGTGTTCTCCAGTACCCTTTCTAGTCCTAAGATGTCACTTAGTCCCTATTCTGGGCCCAGGACAGAATTACAGTAAACCGGATGCAAATATTGTCCTTGAGGTTAGGACCACAAGATAGCCCTTTACATGGGAGGGCTGAAAAATGAAGTCCTTTAGATAGTTTGGTTTTAAAATCTGCTTCATGAGGCCCAAGACAGACCAACCAGCTGAGCTGGGAAAATTTATACTAACCTGGATCTAAACCAAGATTTTTATTTATCCTCATGAACCTGTGGACAGGTGGCTAGTGAGCCCTATATAATGTTTGTTAAATCAATAAAATATCAAACTGAGATGGTAAGGGCCCACGGGGCCAAACCAGAATGAAGCAAAATAGAGAAGCCATTTCTCTTCGCTGGATGTTATGCTTAAGTGATCTCACCCATTCCTGTCACTCTAATTCCTGGCCATCAGTGATGCCTACCTCTTGGCTTTGGCTCTAACCTGTCTCCAGAGCATTGGATCCATTATTTCCAAGTGTCTAAGGGGGCTTCCCCTATGGCAACAAGTCTAAAATGAATCTTATTTTGTCCCCCCCACCCCACAGCTATACCTTCTAACGTTAAATTCCTGTAATATTTACAGCTAGTTTTGTATTGGTTCAGTAACCATCTGAGGGCCTGTGCTGTAGCAGATATTTTTTAAAAAAATGAGCCACAGCCCTGTCTGGTGGGGACAAGAGACGTGTGAAGACCTAAGTGTAATCTAATAAGTGCTACGCGGCTCGAAGGTGGGAATACCTCTCTCCATCCTGCAGTCAGGATGACATCACAGAGGACGGATGGAGTATTTATGTCTGTGTGTTCCCCTCAGCTCCCCATGAGTAAGGGTCCTCCAGGCTAACTCCTTTTCTTACACGCTTATTTCCTAGTCTGGCACGTAACACAGAGCAACTAGCACACAATCACGGATCCAGGCGCCCAGATGATAGGCCAAAGTTTAATGCAGCCCCTGCACCAGGCACCAACCAGCACTCTACCTGCATGCTGAGCTTCTCTGAGTGCGGCTGAGCTCCGAGGGAGCTGAAACATATCAGAAGATCTTTCTTTCTTTTTTTTCTTTTTTTTAAACTTGCAGGAAGACTTTCCCCATTGAAGGAACTATAGAGAGGAATTCTTTCCACATTGTTAAACAATGTGGATACTGCTACATCACCACCAATATCTAGCATTTGCTTGATTCTGTTCTAAGTACTTAATGTATGAACATGAATTTAACCCTCACAACAAGCCTATGTGGTGGACATGATCGTTATCTCCATTTTTACAGATAAGGGAAAGGAGGCATGCCAGGCTAGATCACTTGCCCAGGATTACAGAACTAGTTATGTGCTGGTTAGGCTCCCAAAGCTATGCTCTCTGCCACTCACTCATCTTTCAATCTAGGGTTGTGGTCCTGTCACATCTATCTCTAGGATGTTTAGGTACCAAGTTGGGGCATCTGCAAAAACAAGAAGAGTGATCACCAAACTACCAAAAGGAGACGAGGAGAGGAGCTGCCATTTATTTAGCTTTGCTCCCTCCCATCTAAGACCAAGCTGATATCTAAACAAGAATCAAAACCCAAAGCTCATTAACATCAGTGTGTGCTTCAATAAGGTGAACACTACAATGATGTACAATTACATGCTAATAATTCAATGCCCAAGAGTCCTGTAAAACAATTGCAAAGGCCCAGGATTATCACAGTATGCAAATGCACTGGAAAATCATTACCTACTTGGTCCCCTTCATTTTGGTGGGTTTAACATGAGAAGAATAATCCATGCTACCAGACGAGATTTCATTTTACAGCTGTAGTAACCAAGTACATAAAAGCCTGAATCTGTCCCAATAGCTTCTAAAAGATTTTTCCCATAGTGTCAGAGGCAAAAATAATGAAATCTTGCAAATGTACAGTAAATAGGACCCTCGTGGACACTAACTTCAAAAATGCATGGTCTATAAGACATTAAAGGCTTGATTTTAGTTTCTGCACTGTTCCTGTTAATAACAATGTCTAATTAAAACATCTGTAAAATACTGATAGTTTTAATTTTACATAAAATTTCCAAAACAACTGTTACACACTATAATAGGTATCTGCAATGAATAGGTTATTAATGGAAATATTATTTTAAATTAAAATCAGGTTCTAAATTTAAATTAGTCATCTCTGGCTAATGAAGAGAAAAAGAAGTCATCCGTGCTGGGAATAATACTCCAGATAATCTAGTTTTCAACATCCGTTAAAGCAAATTCATTCAATCACTTGGGCTAAAGGACAATTTATTTTGCTTCTTCTGACTTGTACTCCACTTGGCACTTTTGATGGGTTTCACAGCTGAACTGAATATTAAAACTATAGCGTAATGCATCTTTCAACTTCATTCACAATCTGAACCCACCCTCCCAATTTAGCAGTGAGGAGACAGCCGAGAACTCGACTCCCTGCAGTAGCTTCTCCCTCCCAGCCCTGCCTAATCTGATGAATATTTTAAAAGGCATGGCATAAAATCTCAGCTTTCCTTTTCTTCAGGTCTCATCTTCTTTTACAAAATACAACAAAAGAGATAAGCAAGGCTTAGTGGCTAGCTGTAATTCAATACCTTTCTTTCTAATTAGTGCACAATACAAAAGGGTTACACATCTCAGCACTGGGGGCTGTGTCTGCCTGTGCTGGCGCTGAGTTGGTAAGGAATTCATTCCAGACGATGAAAAGCTGCATTTCAAGTTGCTTCTGATCACACAATGGTTCACAGTAGATGCTGCAGAATGTGGTCCACAGCATGAGGGAAACTCTCACACGTTAAGTAAGGAGGTGGACTAATTTTTTCTTCATCTGCTGCTCGGTATTTTCCTGAAATGGAAGTAAAGATAGTGAACGAAGGCTACTGCTAGAATGCCAGTGATCACAGCCTGTGGACACCTAGGCCACTGCAGAACTGCCCTTCCAATTACTCGAGAATCAGGGTCCATATCTCCCAAAGCACCTTTTACTGAGGCTTCAGGATGCACTGAGGCAATTCAAAGAAATATCACATTCAGCATTTTCCAGGCCTACCTCCAGCCATTCACAATCAGAGGTACTAGGTCACCTGACAGCTAAGGGTCCCTTCAGAACTCCACAGCTGATGAAATTATTTTCTACCCCCACAAGCCCTGAGGACAGAAATGGTGAGTAAATCAATGCTTTTAAATGGAAGCCCAGACCCCACAGGGCAGAGGCCCTGTCAGCTCCCGAGGGTGACTGCTGCCAAGCAGGAGCCCTATGCACCTGGGACATGAGAGCGCCTGGGGGTGGGGAAGGGAAGAGTGATGGATGCTCATAGGTCCGGGCCAGACCGTGTGCATGGAGGGGCTCAAGGGGCAGGACACTGTCCAACTCTCCCCAGACTCTGGGCCTCAACACAGCAGAGGCCCCATTTCACAGTGGTCACAGAGAGCTTTCACTAATGAAAATCAGATGACTTGTGGTCTCTCTTTAAACACTCTTACTGGGTCCCCCAACCCTTCGGAAAGAGCCCCAAATCTCTATTGTTGCCTAGCAGGCCTCTGACATGGGCCCCAGCAGCCCTGTCACCCCGGCATGTGCACTTGTCACAAGGCTGCAGTCCTAGACTGGACCTGGCTCTTTTGAGGGCTGTCACACCCGCTATTCTCTGCCTGGAACATTCTTCTCACCCGATTATCACCCTCATACTTCAAGTCAGATTCCATATTCCATCCAAATTAGATCCCCTCCTGGTTATTCTCTCTTAGTGCCCTGTTTTTTTGCCTCCACAATATTTATAACAATTTATAATCTACATATATAAAAGCCTAAGCAACCGTTATGACCGGACGACCACACAACTGGATGACCGGCTGGTGGCTATGATGCACACTGAACACCAGGGGGCAGATGCTCAACACAGGAGCTGCCCCTGGTGGTCAGTGCACTCCCACAGCCAACCTCACACGGTTCCCCCCATCCCGCCCGCCAGTCAGCCCTGATCACTGGCCAGGCCAAGGGACCACACCCATGCACGAATTCATACACCGGGCCTCCAGTCTATAATAATAAAATCATAATATACTCATTAGACTGGATGTCCTTCCGGACAACCTTACGGACAAAGCCAGGGCTGCGAGGGAAGCCCGAGTCCCGGGTGCTAGAGGGAAGCTGGTACCAGCAAGCATGAATTTCGTGCATTGGGCCTCTAGTTATTTATAAATTTGTTTAATGTTTGACTCACACCTGAGATTATTAAACTCTCTGAGACTAGGCACTAGGCCTATTACATTCCCCAATGTACCCTCAGCACCTGACATAATGACTAGCACATTGTGAGCATTCCACAATTAATTTTTTTTAAAAATATATTTTATTGATTTTTTACAGAGAGGAAGGGAGAGGGATAGAGAGTTTGAAACATCGATGAGAGAGAAGCATCAATCAGCTGCCTCCTGCACACCCCCCACTGGGGATGTTCCTGCAACCAAGGTACATGCTCTTGACCAGAATCGAACCTGGGACCCTTCAGTCCGCAGGCCGACGCTCCATCCAGTGAGCCAAACCAGCTAGGGCCACAATTAATTTTTAAGAATGGAAGAAGAGCCCAGCAGGTGTGGCTCAGTGGTTGAGCTTCAACCTATGAACCAGGAGGTCACGGTTCAATTCCTGGTCAGGGCACATGCCTGGGTTGCAGGCTCCATCCCCAGTGCACGAGGAAGCTGATCAATGATTCTGTCTCATCATTGATGTTTTTATCTCTCCCTCTTCCTTCCTCTCTGAAATCAATAAAACTTTTTTAAAAAGAATGGAAGGAAAGAAGGGAGGGAGGGAGGAAGAAGGGTTGGGAAGATATTAACTAAAGAACTTACATGCATATACTAGTATGCATAACCCCTGGACATAAACAATAGTGCAGTGAAGGCCTCAGGGAGGAGGGCACAGGGTAGAGGGGGTAAAGCAGGAAAAAGGGAGACATCTGTAATACTTTCAACAATAAAGATTAAAAAAATAATAAAATAAAATAAAAGGGAGAGAAGAATTGCAAAACACTGCTTCAGCTGAGGTCTTGAGGAAGAGCCAACTGCCTTGTAGCCACCCTGGCTGCCTTTGGACTTCTCCTTGCTCTCCATTCCTTTTTCTGTGGTCTCTGCAATTCATTTTTCTGCATTTTCCAGTATTCTCTGCCTAAATGCAGCTTCCCCAACACCAAACCCACCATTTTCTACAATTCCTTGTTTTCTACAATTTTCTCTTTAAGAGGCTTTGCCCAGCAAACACAAAGCCTAAAAACCCCGTTCCACACCTTTGCACTGCAGTGGTGAAGATGCTTCTTATCCTACTGACTGTGAGTTCCTACAGAAGAGGAGCCAGCAGCAAATGTACAAAGGTAATGAACATATACCTCACTCACCTTAGCATCTTCAAGGTACCTGTCCACAGTACGCAGCAAACTACTGCTAGTTTTTTCTCAAGCTTAAATCCCTTTAAGGATTAACTCCTTTGCAAGGTTTCTACTGGTCTCATAGGTAAGTTAATGACTAACTATTCCTCTATCACCTAATCCCTGCACCCCATGGTCTAAGGGCAAATATGTGAAAGGCAAGTTTTGTGGCCATGTTGATAAGGGCTCGCAGAATGCTTCTGCATACACTGGCCAGCAAGTGGGCTTTCTAAAAAGTACAAATTGACACAGTGGCTTACATATGTGTGATAACTCTAGCACCTCCCATTGTGTCAGGCATACAGTTGGTGCTCAATAATGTTGGCTGAGTGAATGAAGCAGGCCATCATCACTCCTGCCTGACCCACTCACTGTGGCAGTCTGTGCTTTCCTGGATGGGTAAGTGAATAGGCTTCCTGATCTAGTACTGCACAGCATGGGTCCTCCCATGTTTTTTCCCTGTAATCCTAAGACCATTTTATTCTTGCTTTGTGGCAGAAAGAGAATTACAGTGTCCAATGATTTGGCTTTGCCATTTCTATAAGAACTTTCCTTTAAGCAACTCTGTATCCCACCATCCTGTTTCAGAAAAGGCTTACAGAAGATACATACCAGTTTTTACTAAGATGCCCAGCATGCCAACATCCTGAGCCCCACCAACATCATCCCTGCAATCCTAGAAAGCACAAAGAAAGCATTTAGTTCAGGGTCTTCAATTTACTTGCCAATAAAACCTACCAACCAACTGATTTGACTTATTAGGCTGGGATGGCCAACTGTAACCCCATGTTTGTTTTTTAAATGAAAGACAGAAAGATGTAAAAATGGGTAAATTCACATGTAACAGTCTGAGGCAGCACACCATTTGGAAAGGGAAGTGTCACAGAGGTGGATGGTGTACAACAGAGCAGTCATTCTAGTACCAAACACAGAGAGCACAGTCACAGTTCTTCAATGTTGCCACGTGCGTGCATCGATCTCCTCTTAAAACAGATCATGGAAAAAGCATCCTATCCATTTGGCAGCGTTTAAGGTGGATGATCCAACTGCAAACAGTGAATGAACTAGACTCAGAAGAAAGCTTTTCTGCCACCCATGTAATATATTATCCTTACTTTCCATCTGATTGTCCGTAACAGCCGCAATCAAGTCAATTCAGTATGTTTAGACCATGGGACTGTCTGACATTCACTTCACACTTGGGAACAACAGATCAGTTAGAAAAGGAGGTCCTCTTTCCAATTCTTACTCAAGATGGGGATGAATATGCTTGGTTGATTGTGATGATAAACACAAGGTAATAAAATCCAAGGGCTGGGAGAAACATCAAGAAAATCAATCCTGCTAACACATATCTATAAGCAGGATTCATTCAGATCATGCCTGAAGAAAATATTTTTCCATTAAAGTCATTAATATTATTCAACAACAGCCCTTGGAAATGAGTCCTAGAATGTCAAAATCTTCATTCAAAGTCTGACTTAAAACCTTTTCTGTAGCATCTAAACTTTCCCTGTTGAAGCAGTGAAGATGGGGGAGAAGAAGAGAAAGAAGGGAGGTGGGGAAAAGTGGACAAAGAAAGGGAGGGAAGAAATCATGCCTCTCTGGGCTAACCAAGGACCCTGCATGAAGCTGCTATTGCATGCCTTTCCTGCCTCCCACCCTGTCCCCAAACCAGTATCTCCCGGGATAAAAAACTCTGATAACCACCTTTCAAACACATATCTGCCTAGGAAAGTCAGATAAAGACTTGATTATAGATGTGACTGAAAAGATGGCTTCTGAAAACAATACCAAGTTCAATGACTATCCTATTCAGTATAAGGTGAACACACCCCAAAGTGGAAGAGGTGTCAGGAGAACTGTGAAACACTTGCACCATCACAAGTTACAAAAGCAAGGGATCTCCAGTTTGTCTTGGCAGGGTCCAGAGCCTCAAGTTTTACTTCCAGCTGTGCCACTAATTAGCTGCAGGAATGGAGGCATGCAGACTTCCGGCTCCAGGCTTCAGTTTCCCAGTCAAAAATGGAGAGATTCGGACCAGACAGTCTTGATGGCCCCTTCCAGCCTAACACGTTATTCTTTATAACTAAAATATACTAGTAATCACTGCCACCTATTTAACACAAGGCAGTGTGCTTTCTAGCTCTTTCCCCCTCATGGCACACGTGGATGTTTCCCCAGGACACTAGAGTAAACTGACAAGGTCTTGCTCATGGCCAGAGCCTCCAAACGTCCAGACCTGCCACTCAAAAGGGCTGAGGCAACCAATGCCTGTAGCTATTTGTGACACATTGGGAAGTTCTTCCATATAGCATTTACTAAGAAAAAAATCAATAATGGTAGAATTCTTTAGGTATAGGTTGTTCCCTGCATAAGTAATATTAGAAAAATCTAAATTTATGTAAAGGTTTCTTTAAAAAGACCTATCAAGCATTTGAATGACTTGCATTTAATGGTCTTTTGAATTATATATATCTCATCATACTATAGAGAATGTCAGAAATAATCAAAATTTCAGTTCTTTAGAAGAATACCACTACACATCTACGTGAAGCCTGACTTAGAGGCAGCCATTTCTCTCCATCTGATGTCATCAGCAGCAGAGTCTGCTTGGGTGTGAAGCAGTGCTTCCAAGCTGGCTCAGCCCAGCATGGCAGGTGAGCTCAGGGCATTTCCGGGGCTCTTCTACTTACGTCTCCTATCATGACGGCCTCCTCAGGTTCACAGCCAGTGCCCCGCAGTGCTTCCAAAAAGAATGTTTTCTCTGGTTTTCCTACTACTGTGGCTTTGGTATCTGTGGCATACTCCAAAGCAGTCACAAATGGTCCGGGCCCCAGGGCTAAGCCATCTTTCCTCTTGTAATACCTGGCTTTGTGGATTGCTATCAGAGGTGCCCCATCCAGGAGTAACCTAAAGAGATAGAGAAAATGGAGATTGGCTAAAAGCAAGGCCTTTATGACTGGAAAAGAATGTCAGACTTACAAAGTGGTTTTACAGTATTCACATTCACAGAAACAAAGAGTTTCTTATTAACTTTTAATGACTTGCTATCTTCTAATGAATTCTCTAAGAACTGCTGGGAATTAAATTCAAATACACTGAAGAAAGGTGATAGATTATTAAATTTGGGATTGCTTCAACCTTTTACCTTTAGAGGTTTCAGACACTTTACCGGAATCACCAGGGAAAGAGAATTAAGAGAAGTAAAGCTAAATAAGACACTCAAGGGAAGAAGCTTAACTTAATGAGACAAGTTGTTTCAACCTTCCCTAATGGTAAGCAGGAGGCTCTTGAGCCCTTTCCAGTATCACAACTGTTGCTGCAGTGACACATTCAGCTAACTCCAAATACCTGACTTCCTGTTTCCTCTACTCCAACATGTAAGTTTCTTTCTAATTCAGGAATTTCTTTTTTTTTTTTTAAATATATTTTATTGGTTTTTTACAGAGAGGAAGGGAGAAGGATAGAAAGTTAGAAACATCGATGAGAGAGAAACATCGACCAGCTGCCTCCTGCACATCCCCCACTGGGGATGTGCCCACAACCAAGGTACATGCCCCTGACCGGAATCGAACCTGGGACCCCTCAGTCCGCAGGCCGACGCTCTATCCACTGAGCCAAACCGGTTTTGGCAGGAATTTAATAGAGCATTTTACAAACGCTTTCTGCTTGTACCTTTACGTCTTCATTCTACCTTTTGACTGCTTCTGACATTACTTTGCAAATCAGGCCATCTTCCCTGAAGAACACACCAACAAGGTTTAAGGGAGATCCTTTACTGCCAAATCTCTTTTGTTGCCCTGATATTAGGATAATTATTCTCATACCAACTAAAGGGCACAAAGCATTTTACCATTAATTTGATAAACAAACTCTACATATAGTTAAGAATCCTCATTAGTGACTTAGGCAAAACGTAAAACAAATCCAAGAACCCCCACCAACAACTTCTTAATACTCACCACCCAACCCCCATCCAAAAAATATCTGCCATCCATCCCAACAGTGCAGCCTGTAGTCTCACAGCAAGAGAGTCACATGAATATTATCATCTAATGGAATGCAGGACATGATACACTTAAACTGCTTTTAACCAACGTAATGAATGATCTCACAAAGCTTAATTTACTTTAAGCCATCTACTTAGTTAAAATATTTAGTATGTCCATCGAGGAAGAATTCATCACATCTTACCCCTCACAATTATGAGTAATTAAGCGCTCAGCTATGAAAGTGCTAAATTATTTTTGTCGGTGGGCATGGAAATGCCTTCCTGTGGGAGATGCAGAATTCAGACATTTATGATTAAATATTTTATTAAGTAAAAACCAATACTGGACTATTACAGGGCCTTTCTGTTAGTTACTACAAATTGCTCACAGCACAGGACAGATCCTTCAAATTTATTCACTAATATTAATACAAGTTTACTTCTTAAAGCAGACCTTAAAATCCAGCTGTTAGGAAACCTGAAAAAGCCACTATGCTGGCCTTAAAGAACCACAGCTGATAGCAATGAGATAATAATGGGTGATTTATCTATCTCCCTTCTTGTCACCCACCCCCAATCCCATTTATTTGCTACTCTACCACGGAACTGGAATTCTTTATGCAACAGACCTCAAAATTGCTTTCCACTTACATAGCTAAACTAAAAACTCATTTGATTTGGCTTTGTTAATATTTTATTATGTATTAACTGGGGATAAGACTTATCAGCCTGATTGATGTGTGTACTCAATTCCCAGGCAGTGCTTTAGTGCCTTCCCTGAAAGGGCTGAGACTATGGGCTCCTCTACATGTCTCTAAGTGGAAACTGGACTACACGAGGCTGGAAAAGATAGGCATCTCTCAGGGAAGTGGTTCCTGCTTCTGTCATCCTCTGCACAGCATAAGCTTTACCGAGTCTTTCAAGAGCCAACCATATTCAGGACAGACTGAAAGGTAATTTCTAGGACACAGATTAGAAGATCTTTTATAGTTAAACATTTTTTGAAATATCAAAAATAGACACCCCAATACTTGGGAGTGTTTTTATACCTACCAGGCAGGGCAGCAAAGGGTTGGCTGTTCTTGACACCAGAAATAATGTATCAGAAGGAAATATCCTGATAATTTTCTGTCTATATCTAACTATAAACCCACCGAAGTGCAAGAAGCAAGGAAAAAAGGGCACAAAGGCCTGACGCAAAAAACTCTGGCTGTGATTTCCGTGTGCGCAACGGAACAAACTGAAAAATCCTAGTGAGGGCAGGGCCACAATATAAACATCTCAGGCAAACATCTAGTCCAGTGGTTCTCAACCTGGGGCAGTTTTGCTCCCCAGGGACATTTGGCAGCGCCTGAAGACTTTTCTGGTTGTCACACTGGGGAAAGAGGGGTGCTACTCGCATCTAGTGAGTGGAAGCCAGGGATGCTGCTAAACATCCCACAATGCATAGTACTGCCTCCACCCAGCCCCACAGTATTTTCTGGTCCAGAATGTAGTGTCCACACTTCTTAAAATAGGTAACAGCAAATCACTTCATGTGGGCCTAGGTTTCTTATTAATGAAGGGACTGAACTATCAGGGTTTTTCAACCTTAGCACTACTGCCATTTTGACACATTGGACTCTATCAAAATTAAGAACATCATGCTCTCATACTATTAAGAGCACAAAAAGGCAGGGATGAGATATCTGCAATATATATATATGTATATCCAACCAAAAACATGTATATATAATGAGTTCCATCATATACACAAATCAGTAAGAAAAATACAACCCAATCAGAAATGGTAAAAGATTTGAATGGGCACACTGCAAAGAAGTTGTCCACGGGTCAATAAGTACATGAAAATGTTTCAAGAACATTACTCATCAGGGAAGCACAAACTAAAATCCAGTAAGATACCACTATACACACCAAACAGAATAACTGCAATTTCATAGACTGGTCAGAGACTGGTGGGAATTTGGAGCAACTGAAACTCACACTCATAGCCAGTGGGAATATATGACTTGCTCTAATGACTTTAGAAAATTGTTTAGCAATATTTACTAAAGCTAAACAAGTACTTATTACCCAGTAATTTCACTACTCTACAGACCTAAGAGAAATGAGCACATATATCCCACAAAAAAACATGTTGAAGAACATTCATAGCAGCTTTATTCGTAACAGCCCAAACTGGAAACCATCCAAATGAACAATAAATAAACTGTGGGACGGTCTACTACACAAGAGGCTACTACACAACAAAAATAAAGAAACAAAACAACAAGAAAGTACTGCTATCCGCAACAACTTGGATAAATCTCAACAACAGACAAAAAATTATACAATTGTATGATTTAATTCATATGAAGACCAAGAACTGGCAATCCTGACAGGAGTCAGTAGTGCTACCTTAAGGAAAGAGTGTACTACAAGGCAGGAAGCCTCCTAGGGTGCTGGAAATGTTCTAGATCTTGATCAGAGGGTTACAAAGGCATACCTATGTGTAAAATGCTATTGAATTGTATACTAACAATTTGTGTACTTTATTGTGTATGTTTCACATTAATAAAAAAGTAACAATATATTTATGTGGCTTTTTTAACTGCAAGTTTTATTTAGAGTAGCAAAAGTTGCCTTGATCGTATAACAATATCCCCATATGAAAAAATAAGAGCAGTTAGTGACAGATATTAAACTCAATTCTGTATTCTGTGGATTTCAAATAGGCATAAAATGGTTCTCTTGCATATACTAATGGAATACTTTAAACAACTCAAGTTCTTAATTCTTAAACAATTTCTCATGGTCTGGACTTGAATTAAAAAACTGCAAAGCAGCAGTCAGCACTTTCAAAATGGACAAAGCCCACAGAAATATTTCTAATGTGAGTCCTGCTGTCACACTGTTCTGGAATTCCTCATGCTCAGGGCTCTAAATACTTAGAAAAGATTCAGGAGTTACTGTACAAATGCAGTAATAATTGAAGTCGTAGTTGTTGACCTTTTTTCTCCCTATCTCTTCTTCCCTTTCTAAGGAATTGAATATATTGGAGCAATTAACTTTTAATTTTTTTTCTTGAGGAGATGGGAAAAGAAAAGCAATCTAATATTCCACAGGAACCATTTATGGTGATAAGAATCTCTTCCTGAAAAACAAAAAAATTAATTTCTGCACATCTCTAAGACTTTTAGAGGATTCTCACATCTTGTAATAATTATAGGAAGAAGTCATTAACTTCAAAAGTAAGTCATTTTGAATCTTCAAAACATTGCTCTTAAGCAGCCTTTCACCTCTTGCATTTATTTTTTATTTTATTTTTTTAATTGTTTTATTGCTTAAAGTCTTACAAAGGGTATTACATATGTCTCCTTTTTCCCCCCGCCCTTGACAATACCCTGGCCTCCCCTACCCCCCAGTGTCTTATGTCCATTGGTTATGCTTATATGCATGCATACAAGTCCTTCGGTTGATCTCTTATCCCCCCCTCCTGCTCCCACCCCCCGCCCCGGCCTTCCGGCTGCAGTTTGACAGTCTGTTCGAAACAACTCTGCCTCTGTATCTATTTTTGTTCATAAGTTTATAATGGTCTTTATTATCCATGAATGAGTGAGATCATGTGGTATTTTTCCTTCATTGACTGGCTTATTTCATTAAGCATAATGCTCTCCAGTTCCATCCATGCCATTGCAAATGGTAAGAGTTCCTTCTTTTTTACAGCAGCATAGTATTCCATCGTGTAGATGTACCACAGTTTTCTAATCCATTCATCTACTGATGTCACCTCTTGCATTTAAATATGAAAGTTGTGATGTTATTTATTTTCAGATAGAATAACTTTTTTTTTTTGGTTAATCCTTACCCGAGGATATTTTTCCATTGCATTTTACAGAGAGTGGAAGGGAGGGGGAGAGGCAGAGAGAAACAAGGGTGTGAAACAGACATACTGATTTGTCGCCTCCTGCATGGGCCTGCGCGCCCTTGACCAGAATGGAACCCAGGACCTTTTGGTCCTCGGACCATTGCCCTATTCACTGAGACAAACTGGCTGGGGCTAGAATAACATTTTAAATAAGCTCCTCTAGAAGCTGGAGAGCAGTTGCTCTTAATTTATTTTAAAAACTTGAACTTTTCCTAGGTTAAGCTATTCCATGCAGTTTTTCCTCAAAATTCCTTTGATCCAACAACTATACTTCTGAAAAAAATTTAAGGAACAAACATAAATATTGCTTAACTAACGTTCTCAAAAGGTTTTTTTGTTTTTTTTAAAGTTAACTTCAAAAACCTGGAAAATAACCAACAATAAGAAACATATGGCTATTCAACTAATTGCACTTCTGAGAGTGGAATATTCTGTGGGAACCAAAACTGTGAAAATGAATACACCAGAGCTATAGATATTCATATTGATGAATCATACAGTATTACTAGGGAAGAAAACAAATTGATAAGTAAAGTATAAAACATGCAAAATAATACCATATACTGTCTAGAAATACCTACATGGTATTTAAAAAATGCATGTAAATGATAAACACAATTCAGAATCCTGATTACTTTTGGGTCTTGGGTGATAAAATTGAGGAGGGATATCAAATATGTCAATAATTTGTATTTCTGGAACTGCTTGATAGGCCTAAGGATGTTTGTAATATTATCCCTTGTGTATTTTAGTAGTAGGTAAAAGGAAAAAAGACACCAATGGCTCTTAGGATTTAAATGTTTTCTAGAATCCAACCCCCCAAATCATGTCTATTTCTTTTCTAAAATCAATCTCTAGTATGCAGTGTTCTCAATTCATTCAAACATTTAGGAAATATTTGTAGCCAGATTGTACTATGCATTTTTGGGGGCCTACCCATTTGAAATAGTAAATAAGAGGCAGTGTAATGTGGAAGGCTAATGCATCCACCTGAGGGCAATATGCCCCCGAAGCTGGTGTTCAAGGCAGCTATGCCATGGGGTTTAAAATCCAATGTTTATTCTCATTATCAACCTGAACAGTAATTTAACTAATCGGTGGTTCATTTGAGATGTCTGTATTTGCCACTTACAATCCAAACAGCTGTAGTCACTGGTTGGAAGGCACAGTCTCTGTGGAGACATCAATATGCAAAGAAGGGCAAGACCTAAAATCCTTCTGTTAACTCTCCACCCAGCTGTTAAGTGCATTTGTGAAATTAGAGTTGACCCATAAGTGCACTGTAATGCTTCAAAGTGTAGTGTTTAAAAAAATCAATATGGTTAGGGAAGTGTACTAATTAGACAGCATCCGAGCAATTATAAAGTCAGTATTATGTCAACATACATTTTTATTACCCTGAGTCCAGCATTCATCTAAGGCAGAGACCTATTAAATATGTCCTTCCCAAATTACCAGCTAAAATCAATCAATACCTTCTCCTTGAATTCTGTGGTTAAAGAAATGAATAAAAGATAGTAGGAGTAAATTAGGAAGTAGGTTCTCTATTTCAAATGAAAACCAATTTTGGTATAGTTGTAAACCTTACTTAAGGAGCAGGTGATATAATATTGCCCCCACCCCAACCCCAAGAAGCCACAGCAGAATAACTGAAGTAGGCGAAGCAAAAGAAATTTTAACACCACATACCCTCACATATACACACATGTGGCACAGCAGTGGACCTCCAGATAATAACTACAGTAGCGGATACTGAGCAACTATAAAAAGCGAGTATGTTACTTTTAAACAAAGGCTAGACTATCACAATGACTAAGTGCATTAAGTAGCCGTAGTTCCCATTAACTGAGGCTCTAAAATGCACACAGGGAAAAAGGTGCTATTTCTGGCCACACAGATTGTACACGAGGATAGCCATTTTCAAGATTAACAGTAAATAATGTGCCCAGATGTGTGAGCATTGTAGTGATTCTAGGACATATACATCAAGAAATGAATTCTACATCAAATATAAGTTAGAATGATTCTTGTAGATCTTTTTACTGTAAGGAAATGATGTTTTTATAGCATTCTTGAAGTTAAATACCAAAAATTTATCAACCCACTAAAAAAATTTTTTAAGCTATTACAATGTATCCTTATGTAATATTTTGAGCTACTTGTCATAAATTCAAAAACAAATTATACTGTTTAATGGTTTGACAAGCAGTAAAAGACAACATAAGATGAAAATGAGAAAAATCCAAGGGAAAAAGTCACAATCTCACTCTAGAGCAGATTTGTAGGTAAATTCTGATCCAGTTTATCTTACGAACTATGAGAACCAGTATGCAGTCTTCCCTTTGTAAGCAGCAGCGAAAGTTCATAAAAGTGAAATGCACACATAACTGAAGATTTATAACATTATATGTGGTAGTTGTGTTTCCCCCAATTTCAACCAACAGCCATTGGAACATCTCCATTTAGATGTCCCACATGCCAAACAGCCCCAACCTGAACTGATCGCCTCCTGGACCCCACACAGGGAGTGTTCTCCATCACAGGTGCCCAGGTGAGAATATGATGTCCTCCCTGCCTCACTGTCCTTCACTTCCTAACCTCAATCACTCATCAAGTCATGTTGATATGACCTGAATCCCTACTATTCCAGGTCAGACTACCATTATCACTCATAGAATAATTTCTTTGAAAGTATGGTCAAATGTGTGGATTTTTCCCCATAGCATGGATTTGCACTGGAGGAAGAGTCACGTTTACTGTTTTTGGGGGCATTAGCCTTGATGCTGTTTTCTGTCAGAAATTAGCATAGTCAGTGGAGAATCATAGGAGTGATGATAAAAGATAAAACTGCTAGCTTTAACAGATGCAATTTTATTATGGATTTCTGCTCCAGAATACTGATTCTATAAAAAACAAACAAACCAAGATTATCACATTTTAACATATTGATAATTTTTTTAAACTAAGCAGGATAGTAATAAATAATATTTGATGTTGATCTTGAAGTGATTTTGAAGATGTGCGTCCTCATGTATAATCTAGGTGGCTAGAAAGTAAAACATGTATAACCTTACATGACAAAGACTCAAGAAGGGAAAGAAGGAAGTATTTGATCAGATGAAAAATAAATAGCTAAATAGCTAGAGACTCACCGGAATGCTTGATTCAGAGTTTGATAATGAAAATGTTCTGGTGCCAATCCTATGACCACAGCATTAGGATCACTTGTTTGTATTCCTGGGAATGAAAAAAATATATGATTGTTGAAAAATGCAATTAAAAGTAATGTTACATTTTATAATAAAGAGTTTTAGTAAATCAAGTGCAAATTGTTATTGTAGCAATAATCTGAAGTTTAAGAGATTATCCTGCCCTGTGTACTCTGGCAATAGTGAAAGAGATATTTAAAGAAAGAAAAAGTTCTCTTAGTATTTTTGCATATTTCTTTTGCATGGTTTTACAGCTACTCAGTAACTAGAATCTGAGTTGAAACTTGTAACCTGATGTTCTCAAACAAGTAATTTCTAACTTCAAAGAGCTTTACTGATTACAATCAACAAGAACAGCCATGAATTCCCTATGAGCTATCAGATCAATAGCAACTGATGAGGAAATGAAAATCTAAGAGGCAAGGGAAATTAGACACTCTAATTGACAGTTGAGGTTAACATATTCATGATAAACATGGAATGCACTGTAGATTCTGCTATTTTCTACATAATGTCTCATCTACTTTTAGTGTCACAAATATTACTCCATAATTTAAGCATATTTTAAGGCCTTGGTACCTGACCAGACAAGTATATTCACCAACACAGTTACTAAAAGTCAGACGGTTCTGTAGATTACCCATATGCCAATTCCTATTTGCCTCTCTTACTGCTTGCCTTAAAGCATTTTTCATATCAATTCCACCAAAATGTAAGGGAAAGAAATAGGAAGAGTAGATATTCAGCTTTCCCATTTCCTCCTTACCAGCATCCATGAGTATTGAGTAATTGGTTAAAGTTTGCTGAAGGAAAAAAACCAAATTGTTGGCTATAGTTAGAGTTAAAGTTTTTTGTGTTCCTTCCATTATCTCCATCTACCACTAGCAAAGATATTCAATAACAGCAGAAAAATTTCTTGCCTTTCAAAAACCCATCTACTTTGGGTATTTTCATGTATATAAGCATGTTCTAAGTATTGTCCTGGACTGACTGACAAAGATTTCTTCCTTCTCAGGGACTCTGCTTATGTATCCCAACTGCAGCTCACTGCCAATACAACTAGAATCTTCACCTTCTTCAAATAAAGTCAAAACAGAAAAACCTGATTAAAATATTGTTTTATAGTACTTCAGCTAACCCAGAGACACAAATACACTGTAGATGCATGTAGATCATTGTTTGTACAGCCATCACATGGTTTTATACCCATTTTTCTATATTGTGTCATTTCACGCCGAGTATCACTTACAAAACAAAGCAATGTGGCAAAGTTTCATAAAAATAGGATATTTTTCCAGAGTTTATTAATTTTCCCAAAGAGAAAAGTTTGATTGAAATATTTCATAATCACTGCTAAAATTTCATACTATACAGAATGACACCTATTTTTAAATAAGGTGATTATGGATTATCTCATTTAATCAAATTAACATAGTAGCTCTTGGATCAAGGATTATAATACTCAAAGTAATTTTGACCTGTGCTTTTTCAAGCTGTGGGTCATGATCCATTAGATTACAAAACTAATTTGGAGAGCTCTAAGCAGCATCAAAATCAAATAAACAATTAAGTAAACCAAAAAGAAAACAGAGTACTTCTCATACAGTAAAAGTATTGTTTAGCATATATATAAACACACACATATATGTACTAGGTTACTATGTAATGTGTTTCACTTACTGTGGAGTGCAGTCAGAACAGGTTTGAGAAACATCAATTTAGATTCAAGAGATCTGTTGACCCTTTCAATAATAATAGGAGGAAATCTGAATACATCTAAATATTCAGTTTAAGAATGATTTATAAGAAGATATGAAGAACCAATTTTTAAATCTTTGCAATTTCCCCTACCTTTGAAATCAGGTAGTGCCCGATCGTCAACTAGCAGCATGGGCCGGACTTGTTTCTGCTCTACTAAATTTCTGGCTGCAGTCAGAGAAGTAAATATTTCATCTTCAGAGATATCAAACTCCAACTTTTTCAACCTTTCCAGTAGGTCTCTCTTGCTCTCTTTGGTTGTATTGGTCACAAACTTAACCATTACAGAAGTACCACGTAACCTGGAAAAGTAAAATTCAGATGTCAACAGGCAGCTTTTACATTCTAGCCCAGCCGTGGGCAAACTACGGCCTGCGGGCCAGATCCGGCCCGTTTGAAATGAATAAAACTAAAAAAAAAAAAGACCGTACCCTTTTATGTAATGATGTTTACTTTGAATTTATATTAGTTCACACAAACACTCCATCCATGCTTTTGTTCCGGCCCTCCGGTCCAGTTTAAGAACCCATTGTGGCCCTTGAGTCAAAAAGTTTGCCCACCCCTGTTCTAGCCCTATAAGATCTCCTAAATTGGTAGCACTTGCCAACAGTCATAAAATGAAGGCTAAGTCACCAAGTAAATATTTTTATTACCAATAATCTTTTTGTTATCTACCCAGAATTGCTTACGTATTATCCACACCGTCTGGACCACTTTATTGCCAAAGGCTACAAAGTAAATTATAAAAGCTGTGTCTACCTTTTTGAGGACTTCTGTACTTCAACTGAATTCTACTGCAGGGATTTAGCAAATAAGTGAAAAAAACAAACAAACACAAAGCTTAGTAACCACTATACTCACAGAATATGAGAGGTAAAAGTTACCTTAGAGATTATCTACTTATGCAACCCTCTCTTCTTTTTTAAAAATATATTTTATTGATTTTTTACAGAGAGGAAGGGAGAGGGATAGAGAGTTAGAAACATCGATGAAAGAGAAACATCAATCAGCTGCCTCCTTCACACCCCCTACTGGGGATGTGCCCACAACCAAGGTACATGCCCTTGACCAGAAACGAACCTGGGACCCTTCAGTCCACAGGCAGACGCTCTATCCACTGAGCCAAACTGGTTAGGGCGCAACCCTCTCTTCTTATAAAGAGGAGAAAACTGAGGCCTAGGGGAGCTAAGTGACTCGCTCGGCTTCATACTGCTGGGTAGCAGTAGAGCTGAGACAAAGACTCCAACCTATGTCCTGGTACAGGACTTGATGTCCTATACTAGAGAACAGAGGACACCTCAAGATGTTGTTTTTCCTTCTTAGACAATCAGAAGATGTGCTACCAAATCTATAAACAGAATCTATCTGGACAATCTATCAAAGAAAATCTTTTTTTTTTCTTTTTAAATAAAATGTGTTTTTCCCTTGAACTACTTACATATAGAATTGTTTTGATTCTGTGATCTGTTTTCGGAACCTAAACTGGTAATCAGGTATCAGAGAAAGAATTCATGACAGTCTAGCTTTCTTTGAAATTGAAAATTATTTTCTTGGTCCTAAAGTGTTTTAATCCAAAATCTAAAAATAATTTTAATTTAGCTACAATTAAAATTTTATATTAATACCCTATTGCTTTTTATTTTGTGCCTGCCCCAAATGAATACAAGGTGGAAAAGCACTAAACGCAATTGAAAACAAGCAAGCAAATAAAACAGAAACAGAGATTTTTAAGTATTCACCCAAAGAACATTAACTAAATTTGTAAGATTAAATAGTTCACTGTAATCATGATTGCCTCTATAATATCTGTGTGGTAGCTTTTCTTAAAAACACATTAAACTTAGTGGTTTATCTCTCAAAAGAAACTGATTATTTCAACGTAACTATTATCCTAAAAATGAACAAGTAGAAGTACTGAAATAACCATATCATTTTTAATGAGGATTTAAAAAAAACTTTTCTTTTTACTGGTCCCTCAACTTCCCTTAGCCTGTTTGTTTCTATAGAAACCAAAACCAGCCATAACAGTATAGTGATGTCTCTGGATGTGTAATTCACAGGCTCCTGGCCCTCCAGAATGGCAGGCTCATAGTTACAGAGCTACTTAGTGGTGTCATTCATTGCTCACCAAAAATAAAAAGATTTTTCTTCAATACAAAGTAAAAAGCTTATCTTTAAAGCAGTAAAAGCTCCTTTCCCAGAGAAAGCCTAATTAAGAGACAGTGTCAAGGAGTCAAGAGAAAGTCCAACTGTGAATCTGATTTTCTTTTGGCTTTAACCAGTTAACGGCCACGATATTTTGAATTTAATTAAAAAGGTCTGCCACTTGCGTCTATAGATGCTTATGGCGTACAAATGGTTAAACAACATGTTGTCCACCTATAATATGAACATCATGACTCCTAACTAAACTGATAGCTTCCAAATAATGCCTACCAGATACATAAGTCTCTTTATATTTGTTGATTCCCCAAATGGAAGCTCCGTGAGAGAATACAAGCAAGATCTGTGTCAATTTTTGGCCCTTATACCTGGTGTTGTGATACTAGTCACTAGATTTTCTGAATAACAGTACACTGTGACTATTTTAAGGTGGGAAAATAATAAGCACCACATGCTAAGTATTGCTGACTTTGAAAACTTCTCTAAATAATTTTAATATGAAGGTATTTAATACCAATTACTAGTACTATTGTACTGATGATTCTTTTTTCCAGGACACTCAGAAGCAAACATTCACATTCAGTTTACTTTTTAAAAAATATATGTTTTTATTGATTTTGAGAGAGAGGAAGGGAAAGGAATAAAGAGACAGAAACATCAATGAGAAACCTCATCCATTGGCTGCCTCCTGCACGCCCTCTACTGGGGATCGAGTATGCAATCCAGGCATGTGCCCCAACCGGGTTCAGTGACCTCTTGGTTCCTGGGTCTACACTCAACCACTGAACACACTGGCCGGGACATGTTCAGTTTGCTTTAACAAGCTTTTACTACGTATCCCCGTTTGTATCTAGACATGTTAAGTACTGTGGTTGGTACATCAGAAATATAGAACAGTCGCTAACCTTCAAAGGCATTAAATTTCACTGATAGAAATAATTCTAAAATTTCAAGTCCCTCAATTAAATTTTATTTGAGCTGCTGCACACTTCATGCGAGATCTTCGGTGAAAGGGGAGTGGGCAGCACTATGCCTTTGTGCATGTGTGCGTTTCACTTTGTGATTCCTTCATTTGTGATTTTTCCAATGCTATTTAATTTACATTTTAGAATCTTGAGTTTTCATCCACGAATTTACATTACTTAGAAAAAAACATGCACACAAAGAACAAAAAGAATAGATCAAAGGCCAAACCTAATAAAGGCTTAGAGAACAATGTTTGGAAGATATTACAATGCATACATCTTCTAGCTAAACCCAAGGCAGTTTTTGTATATATGGTAAGCTGGTGAAATGCCATCTTAAGGTCATCCATTCAGCTAATGATCTGCCTTGGTAAAACGGCACTTACAAACATATTTGTCAGCTGAACCTGGAGGATAGCTTGCCTTTTAAGAGCTTCCTGTGCGCCTGGCACAGCTGCATCTTCAATGTGAAGTGTGCCATTGAGATCTACCAAAACAGCTTTTAATGCACGGCGTGCTGCCATCCTTCATTCCCTAGGAGAGAGCAAATGAAATTAAAAATACAGTTTAGGAAACAATGGACAATTAAAAACTGGGGAAGTCTTCAAAAATATCATTCATATCCAGAAAGATACAGCTTAGTGTTAAGCTGTTTCTTTTGGGGGAAAAATGTGTTTTTTAAAATCCAAATCCAAAATTTGACTCATAAAACTTTCATAACGCTTAGTTATTTAAAAAATCTTTAATTAAAACGAGAAAGGGAAAAGGGGGAATTAATAAAAAAAAGTTACTATTTACTTTCAGATTTCTTAAAATAACTCTTTGGCTTAACAATTTATTCATTTATTTTAGTTCTAAATATGAGAATAATGCACTCTGAAGAATGGGTGTATGGGAGCCCTAATTCATTGGCAACATCTTTTTCATCTTTGGTTCTATGTGATGACAATGTTCTAATCACTCACCTCCACTATTATACCCTGAAATGACATATATGGCCAAGGAGCTAACAGTATGAACAAGCTACTGTATGACTTGACCCGTAACAGTGTCAGGAAATACTGTCCTTACTTAGTAATATAAAAGTTCCTTTTGCATATTTTCTCTTTAAAATTTATTGTAAGCTATATCCTAAACACAGTGGAGTATACGGTATTGGTTAAAAATAAAAATAATGAAATATTTCAGACATACAAAAAAGTATCAAGGATAATACAACCACCTCCATTACCCATCATTCAACTTTAGAAATAAAACATCACAGATGGAGTTGGAGCCCTCTGTGTACCTTTCTTCGAACTAATTTCCCTTATTCCTCTCACCAAGTAAACTACTCTCTTGATTTTGATGTGTTGAAAGCTTTGTATTAATGTTATTATTGCTACTCTTAGTGATTTGCCTTACCAGTCCACATCATGTTTGGAAAATGTCTCCATGTTAACACATGTAGCAACTGTTCATTCACTTTCACTACTGTGTACAGAATTCCATTGTATGGATATATACTTTATTTGTCCTCCTGATCATGAATATCTTGCACATCTATATATATAAAAGAGTAATATACAAATTGACCAAAGGCAGAACGACCCCTTGACCAGCCACTATGAGGCACAATGACCACCTCTCATTTCCACCCCTCCCCGCCCCCAGCAGGCTCCGATCACCCAATGGCAAACAGGGAACTGGGGGTGGGAGGGGGCGTGGCTGGCTGCTGGCAGCCAGGGAGGGCCCTGATCACAGGCCAGGCCTAGGGGCTGTACCCGCACACCAATTTCATGCGCTGGGCCTCTAGTTTTATTATAATGAAGAGTACCTCTTTGAACCTCCTTGTACACATCTCCTGGTGAACATAGATGTGAACATTTCTCTGGCATCTTGCTGAGTCTGAGGGTGTGTGCTCATCTGTATCCTTACAGGAATGTTGCCATGTTGCCAAGTTGTTGTATTCACTTGTATCTTTACAGGGCAAATGTTTACTGAGCACTTCTTATGTGTCAAGCCCTATGTGACAATGACAATGGACATGGAGGAGCCATCTCCTTTAAACTTAGAAGCAGACGGAAAGGGGGAAAGAACCTGGGAGATATAAATAGGTAATTACCACGAATTTGTGGAGAATCTATGGCAGGGGTCCTCAAACTACGGCCCGCGGGCCACATGCAAATACAAATATTGTATTTGTTCCCGTTTTGTTTATTTCAAAATAAGATATGTGCAGTGTGCATAGGAATTTGTTCATAGTTTTTTTTTAAACTATAGTCTGGCCCTCCAACGGTCTGAGGGACAGTGAACTGGCCCCCTGTTTAAAAAGTTTGAGGACCCCTGATCTATGGAATCTATGGGAAAAACTTAATAGAATCTTACCTTGGGACGGATGGTGGGTGGAGGGAAGACATCTCTGTCCTAGCTAGGTTCCTATGAAATGTGATCGTGGAGCCTGGGACTGACAGTAGGCTCAGGTGGTGGTCCTCATTCTGCCTCAAATTCATTGTGTGACTTTGGCCAAGTGTCTTCCCTGCTCTGGTCCCAGGTTACCCTCCGAAGCCTTGATTTTCTCCTTTTCAATATGGGCCTGCTAATCCCTGCTGCTGGTCCATCTCCCAAAGCTGCCAGGAATACGCTAGATTGCCCAGTGTCGTCCTTCTAAGTGTTGTTCTTTCTTAGGTGCATTCCTTTCAGGGGGCAAAGATGCTCCCTGAATTCCCTCCCAGCTTATAGCTTACAGCTCCTTTGCTCCTCCCATTTCCCAAGCTCTGTTCCCACTCCAAGTCAGTCATCTCTGCATAAAAGGTATAAATATAAAAACTAAATAAACCCATAGTAAGCCCCAGAACTCAAAATATACTTCTTCAGTTAGCCTCACTGTAGGCCTTGACTACTTCTACCCCATAATGTATGGCCTGGGGTCACAGGAAAAGCAAGAGAAGTGGCTGGAAGGAGAAAAGCCAGAACAGCTCCCATTTATTGGATGCTGTATATGTTCTGTGCCATGCTAAGTTCTCTGCAGCCTTTATCACTTTATTGAAACTTCTACGCAATCTTACCCAGACTAGCAAATTCAGGCACTGAGAAGTCACGAACTTGCCCATGTGCTTTTAGTTTTGGCTTTGAACCATGTTAATGGCTTATATATTGAAATTGAAATTAAGTCAGACATTTAAATATTTAAATTTAAATACAAACAGAAATAAACTAATCTTGCTAAAACACAGAGTACTCTGACTCTAGTTCTTCAGCAGGATATATTCAAAGGACAAAAAGAATTGCAGTGCCCAGCTGGTGTGGCTCAGTGGTTGAGCATCGACCTATGAACCAGGAGGTCAGGGTTCGATTCCCGGTCAGGGCACATGCCCGGGTTACAGGCTCCATCCCCAGTGTGGGGCGTGCAGGAGGCAGCCGATCGATCAGTGATTCTCTCCCATCATTGATGTTTCTCTCTCTCTCCCCCTCCCACTCTGAAATCAATAAAAATATATTTTAAAAAAAGAATTGCAGTGCTAAAAAATATACATATTTTTATTTTTAAAAATTTTAATTGATTTTTAGAAAGAGAGGGAGATGGAAAGAAAGACTGGCTGTCTCCTGCACACCTCCTACTGGAGATTGAGCCCACAATCTGGGCCTGTGCCCTGACTGGGAATTGAACCAGCAACCTCTAGGTGCATGGGACAACGCTCCAACTGAGGCACACCGGCCAGGGCATATATTTTTAAAAATGGATATTAGAGAGAGGAAAAAGGAGGGAGGGAGGGAGAGAAACACTGACATGAGAGAAATACATCAATTGGTTGCTTCCCTTATGCGCCCTGACCAGAAATCGAACTTGCAACATAGGTACAGGTAATTGGACCTGTGACCTTTTGGTCCACAGGACAATGCTCTAACCCAGCGGTCACCAACTGGTCGTCTGTGGACCGCTGGTGGTCTGTGAGGACCGAAAGGTTGGCGACTGCTGGTTTAAGGAAACCTTTGGAGCAGCGGTCACCAACTGAACCACACCAGCCAGGGCAAAAATGTATACATTTTTTAAATCATGAATTCTTGATGATCTTCAATTCCAAATCAATGCCACAATGTTCTTCCTCTCATCCCATTCCACATTCATAGTTCTTTTCTCCCATTTGAGAACCCTGATTTGCTAAACATCAACATTACATTTACTCATTTATTCAATACTACAATAATCACAGAATAGTTCTGGAACTCATACGATTACCATTACCCACAACAAACTGTGAACCTGTTGATGTCTGTCATTTCCCATCAAAATAAAATCCCACCTTTTGGGATTCTGACTAGAACTGCATTGACTCAAATAGAGCATTATTAGGAGAACTGAGATTACTAGATTGCATCTAAACTCAGAGATACAGAGGACAGATTGGTGACTGCCAGAGTAGAAGGATGGGAGGGAGAAATGGGTGAAGGGGGTCAAAAGCATAGTAACTAGAGTTAATAATACTGTATCGCATATTTGAAAGTTGTTAAGAATAGTTCTTCATTACAAGAAAAAAAAATTAGCTATGTATATTGCCAGACATTAACTAGACCTATCATGATCATTTCTCAACATATACAAATATCAAATCATTGTTGTACACCTGAAACTAGTATAATGTTATATGTCAATTATGTCTCAATAAAAGGAAAAGAAGTTATTCGATAGCACAAAAAAAATTGTTTTAAAAAAAAGTTGTAAAATATTTGTATCACTCCCAGAAGAACTGTAAAGGCTTCAAAGATAGTCCATATTCCTGGTTTATCTTGAGTCCATGGCCCACCATCTCCCAGTTTGAACAAATTATATAGGATATACCTTAGAAGAGACACAAACAATTGATACTGGTACAAAGTCGAGGCAAATTCTCTCTCATCCTAAGAGGAACTCTTCAAGATACTTCAGAGGACCTCTCCCCTTGCATATCCAAGGGGCATCTCAATCCAACAAGTCCTAATTAACAACCCTCAAAGTTGCTCTTTTTCCTAAGATCCATAGGAGTGAATGGCAGCACCATCAATCCGGATGTACCCAGCAGGCTCTCCCACTCCTTCCTCCCATCCGTTCAGTTGCCAAATGCCAGTCCTACCTCCTTTACAGTCTTGAATCCACTCACTTCTCTTCATCATTACTAAAACTTAGTTTTAGAATCATCACTTTTCATCTAGTCCAGTTCAACAACTTTCTAAATGTCCCCTCTGCTTTGAACCTTCTATTTCCAGCTGCAAATCCATTCCCGGGAATGCAGTGGTGAAGGGCAAGAACCAAGGAGTTGTATGTGCCTCAATTCACTAGCTATGCGAACTTGAGCAATTTTATTAAGCTCTCAACCTCAGTTTCTTCACCGCTGAAATATGAAGGATAATACCTGCCTCTAATGGTTGATAGAAAGATTAAAGAAAATAAGGCATGTACTGTGAACAGTGTTTCACACATAGAAAGTCAGGGTTATGTATGTGTGGGGGAGAAGGGACCGAGGGAAGGGCACATGATGGATGTGTCCAGGACTGCAAAAATCAGATATGATGCAACGTCCTAAAGCATTAGGGTAACTTGAGAGTTTGAGAAAACATTTTATACCCAAATAAGGATATACTGTGGAGGCATGCAATTCAAAACTTGCATAAATATTTAACATAAAACGAGATTTCAATAAAATTTTTCTCCGGGGAGGTTAAGGCTGTTCAGAATATGCCTCCTAGAACCTCCAGGGAGTAAACATTCTCTTCTCTCCCCTACATGCGTCCAGTAGAAAAGTCTGGAACCACTGGATGCACTCAATAAATGTTATTATCCAGTTAAAAACCTCCCAGTGGCTCCCCGATTCCTTCAGGATGAAGTCTGAACAATGAACACCGCTGCTCAGAGCCCGGGGTTACCTCTCCACCGCATCTGTCTAGACTCCCGCATCAAGTCATCACTGCAGGGGCAGGAGTCCTATACCCCACCCTCATCGCCGGACTTCGGTCCGGGACCATTTCCGCTCCCTGGATCCTACCAGCCCCGCCCCTACATCCGCCCTTCCCTTGGCCCACTCCTCTGTCCTTGGGCCCCGTTTTCCCCCCCGGCATTCCCGAGTTCAGCTCCTCCTCTCCGGGCTGGGCCAGGACGCCCGCGTGCTCTCAATCACACCGACACTGCCCCAGCTGTTAGGTTCTGGGAGTTATGGGGCTCTGTTGCCTTTTCCACGGTACTACCTGGCGCTCAATAAAGGCTTTTGAATTAAGTAAACTTAAGAATCCGGGTCGCTACGATTTCTAGAACTAGAATCAGCACTCAACAGCGATTCCCGCCATCTCCCCGTGGGGAGGGGCGCCGGGACTGGTCTCTGCGCTCCGCCCCAGCCCACGTTCCAGGGCCTAGCAAACGCCGGACTGACCGGGAAGGACTCCAGCTTCGACATACAGTCCAAGGGCACGTGCCGGAGAACCACCGACGCCTGTGAGCCGCGCTCTAGCCCTGGGCAACCACAGCCGGGCGAACCCCGGGCCTGGCGGAAGCGGCGCGCGCCCTCTCCGCGCATGCGCGGCAGCGCCGCGACCCAGGGGGCGGGGCCCAGCGGAGGGGCGTGACAGTCCTCACTGAGCAAGCGCGCGGGTTGGTCCCTGCCCCAGGAGCGGGGGGGTGGCCTAGAGACGCAAACAGGTGGGGCCCGAGCCCTTCCACAAAGGAACGCAGCCTCCAGACAAGCGGGCGGGCGGCTCCTCACCCCTGTTCCGTTCCGTCCTCAGCAAAGACCCCGCTAACAGGAACGTCGCACAGTCCCGCGGACACAGCGTCCTCGCCGCGGGTCCAAAGCGCCCGGGGCAGCTCCGGATTGACGCCGGAAGCTGGGCCTAGGACCGCAACGGAAGTCCCGCCTCCCCCCGTCCTTCTCCGCTCCATCCGGCCTGGGTTGCCCTCTAGTCTCGGACACCCAGTACCGGGTCTAGTTCCGCTCTTTCACCACCATCGAAAGGAACGATAGACTGTTCTGGAGACCCATTTTTTTTCAAGGGCGCTGCCACGATGCAAGAGGAAGTACAAACCCCCTGCCTTTGCTCGGTAAATGTTTCCCATTCCGCAGCACCATGGTCGAACCAAGTTTTATTGGGTAACTTCTTTGCTGCAACCCTCTCCACATTCCCTAGGGGTAACTCAGAAGTCATCTCCTAGATAGTTTCCTTGAAACACCCAATCTCTGAGGTCATGTTCTGCTTTGCTACTTGAATACTGACATTGCTATTAACCATCACCTCAGGTAGCGTCCCTCTTTTCCTGAATTAGCTACCCCAAAAGCTGACATGGTCGTTGCCCATCCTGCCTCTGCTCAGAGAGTGCTACCACAGGCCTTGCGTACCACCTCCAGGGAAGCAATGGCTGACTGCAGCACTGCGCAGGGGTGTCGGATGGTGTTCTAGCAGCATCTGAGCCTCCAGTCAAGGACAGCGCAGTTTTGTCGAAAGGTTCCGTATGTGTAAACCAGGTTGTCCTATTATGTCGGAATTTTTTTCATTTAGTCATTTCCATAGAGAATTCATAAGATGACCACCTCTGCAGTCAAGTATATAGTTCATTTGGATCTAAGGAAGACAAGTACTGTAGAGACTCCCAGCGTGGGTGGGAGCAGTAACGAAGGTGGTCCTAAGTATCCCAAAATACTATATATATAGTACTCAAATATATTGCTTTTTCTCGACATTTTATGAGTACATACAACACACAAGTGACTACATATACCTAAAGAGCACAGATCACCTTGCCTACTCTATATAAAGCAGGGATTTTTTAAAAAATACTTTT